GTATTGTGCGATGATAAGTAAGATGTTGTCAAAAAACAGTACTGGCAAAGAAGTTAGCATATGGTCTCAGTCTTTCGATAACAAATGTGGAGGACACTTACCTGCAGCAAAGAACAGCACCACCATGGGAATCATCCAATGACTCCCCTTGAACTTGAAACCACTGGTGGTCTTGTCCGCAATGACGACAGAGATTCCGAGTATAATAAGCGTAAAGCCGACAACAACTCTGTTGATGATCTCGCCAAACTCATACTTCGTCTTGTGGATCTTGTTGAACCAGTACATGATCGCGAGCACCAACAATAGACAACCTGCGCCGATGAAGAACTGCATGGTAGTGGTGTTGAAGACATCAGAAACGGCGTCTAGCTTGTTCCGCGGACTAGCTGTAGTCGCGGCAACGGCGTTGAGCTTCGCCAGAGATTCATAATGTGCCTCGTACACGAAGACTTGCGCCCTGTCGAACATATGACGGGTGACGTCGCCGGTTCGATTGTTCCATTCGTCTGATTTGAAGCCGTATGTTGCAGTGTAATTCTCGATCGCAGTGAAGTTCATGTTCCAGTTGTATGTAGTGTTCCAGGCTTTGCTCTTGAATCTCCCGTTGATAGCGTTCATGCTCTGGTTCAGGTAGTCGATGTAGCTGCCGGTGTCGGAGTAACCATTGGCTGGATCGTAGTAGTTCTCGGGTTTGAAAGACCAAATCCACTTGAGAGCTTGCACGGCTGAGTTCCACACGATGAGAGAGGTGTTTCCTTCGACGCAGAGGAGGATTGCCGAATGCAGTGGATAGTGTAGCAGAGCCCATACTTGTTGGCGCACGGTTCCGAAGCGGTCATGGGAAAGCTGATCAAAGTATAGCATCCAGAGGAGATACTAAAGTCTCATATTAGTATTGCTGTCGGGACATGAGGGTTTGTTTGCATACCAAGAGAAGAATGGCCGCGATGACAGTTCCAATTTCACTCATGTTGTTGCTCGTTTGGCTTTTGGTAACACATGCCACGCTCTTGACCATCCCGATGATACCCTCCCCAATGATGATGAGCGTAAGGAGTTGCAGCCGCTCCGCTAGATGAGTGTATTTGAAACTGATGATGCGCCATATCATGGCGATAAGAAAGATGAGAAGACCTTCAATGATGGATATGATGACCCTACGCATTCTGTTAGTCTAGAAACCGAACGCGGAGTACATTACATACCATGCGAGTTGTTCCTCAAGACCAACACGGCCCTTGGGAAATACAACCATGGTAACGGCATAGCATATCGCTGCAGCAGCATGTACACCTGCACTGAGCCCTAACGGAATCAACGTCTGGCGGAACATGCGACCTTGCCACATAACTACGGCGTATTGAACAGCGATTGCGATTCTGCCGATGACGAGCACGATAGCAAAATTCCGGTAGGATTTCTCGACACCGCTGGTGCTGTATTTGTCGAAAACGGGGCCGGCATACACAAAGCCTGTGAAGATGCCGAACTGTATGGCTTTATGAAAACGGTTCCAGACGCAGTCGATGCTGAAGCGCACGTCGAAAAGTGTGACGCTCAGCCACGTAAACCACATCAGCGTGAATAGCTTGATGTAGTTGATGAGTGCTAGTAGTCTATTAGCTAGTGTATCCAAGATGTGAGAGCTGTACATACATTCTGCATCGGTATGCTGATGCATAGCTGTAAAGTACGCAAGATTGGCAACAAAGAAGAGATCGTAGAAGAGCTCGATCGTACTGGCTTCGGTGTGTTGTTTGTAAACGATGATATTTCCGCGACTTGTCCTGCCATTCCCAGCAAATGTAGCCGTGTCGTTCGAACTGTCGAGCGTGCTTGTGTGGGTGTTGACCTTCTCCAAATCTGAAGAGTTACCCGACACTACTTCGAGGACATCTTCGTTGATCGGACTTGCAAGTAGGGGCAGATAAGTCCTGTCTTTCCCATGCGCTGCGTGAGTACTGTTGTGACTGCCGGTAGTCTTCCGTCGTAAACTGAAATAACGTGCAAGATCCATGATGAAACAAATGGAAGGAACTGATGATCGTGGGTGGTGGTACGACTGGATTGATGAGAAAGCTGAGCAACAAGGCAGCTACAATACCTGAACATATATACAAGACGCCAGCTACGAAGAAGCTGCTTCGTGACGGTGAAACATCAAGTCAGATCGCGTCGGTCCGTAATCGACGACGGGTATCAGTAAGGCCATCGCTGTATGTGATAAGCCTTCGCCCCGTAACATGGCCAATTTAAGAGTAGCATGGCTGTGGTAGAAAGCTTAAGTGAGCCATCTGTACCGAACGATCGTTTAGATCTGTGTATCTGGGGGGCCGTTAGGTCCTAGTATCACGCTTCTAGAAACAATACCAGTGGGGCGCAGGCAACGGAAACCGCGTTGTGTCAACGGAGAGGCTTGCATAAGAGCGAATGCATGCCAGGAGAGGTTGTGTGATCCGAAGAGTATTCTTGAAGCTTGCACTACGGAGGCGTCGTTAGCTGTTGGCAAGGAAGCGCCGTCTGCCGTGAGCCTTGCAGATCTGCTGCATGGTGGTTGTTGCACGATACACCTCTGTGTATCGGAGATCGGTAAAGCCAACCATGGCGTCGGTGTGAGCGGTGCAGGAGCATTGAGCCGTGCCGATCTGCCAGGATGACTGCCAATGTCGGACGTACCAGCATGCGCCGCCAAGCTTTCAAATAAGCTCAGGGTGCACAAGTCTTCGGTCTCGCAAGATGCTGCGGACCAGGCTGAGAATTCGTTTATTCGCCGAACACTGTCCCTACTTCGAGCCTGCTGACGTTTGCCAAGACGGTGCACATGTCGCTGTAGCATGCCAAGCCCTTCAGCTGGCTGGTGGTGAGGTCTCAATTTGGAAGACTATGCCAGCGCAAGTGCCGGAAAGAGCGAATGAGATGCGAACAGCGAACCACGCCCTTCCAGACTAGTACACGCACACGCGCCTACCGTTCCATGTGGTTACACAGATGAAAGTAAAGGTTGTAGAGGTTAATGGTGTTCGGTTCGGCGATTACTAGCAAGCCGCGTCCTAAAATGCCTGCACAGTTTCAGCACATTTGCATCATTAGATTTCTTCTCCCCAAAGACATGCATATCCGCAGCTCAGTGACCGAAAGAGGAGCTTTGCCACTGAGTTGGCTATTTCGAGAAGATGATCGGCAGGCGTTCGTGATCGAATTTAAGACGTCGCGAAGCCCTTGCTGGAGACATTTTGGCGTCCACGGTTGCTATCTTCGTGACGTTTCAACGTATTCACTGGCTCCTTCCTCAAAGTCTTCATCCGATGAGCTCTCATCGTCGTCTTCGTCTTCGTCTTGGGCGGCCTCGTAATCGTCGTCTAGCTCGTCATCGTCATCATCCGGAACGGGCACACTTGGAGGTGGATGCCTGGACCGTAACACGCGACCGGTACTGTTGGCTGCAGCATCAAGTCTGTTCACTTTGGCTCTCACTCTGCCCTGTCTACCTTCCCTTTCAAAGTTGAGGGGCCATTCCAGCTCGAGAGCTTGCTGCCTGGTGCCAGCATTATCCATAATCCAATTATACGGCTGCTTGAGTACGATCTCGGTACGAATGACGAAGGTCCCCCAGCCTCGAGCTTCGAACTCATAAGGCGGCTTTCGGATGATGACGTGGGATCGTCGAAATGTTGGATGCTATCATGTGTTAGCTTTGCAGCGATATGGTGGTCGGCGCGCAGGTGTTTCGAATTGCACGCCTCTGGTCTTTTTGGACCCCTATGGGGTTTTTCATTCGCATCGAGCAGTCGTGTATCGAGTCTCCCCTTGGCTGAGACGAAAGAGGAACTGAGAACATACCAGATGAATATGCACTTCCTTAATCAAATCCGGCCTCGACGTGCGCACAAAGAACGTCCAATCATGCTCGTTATCGTCACCAGCATTCCTAATAAGCCTATGCTTATTCCCTATGAGCATCATAACGCCCTCGAAGCCATCACGTCCGATACGTGACCCCCGCTCCTCTTCCTCTTCAACGCGCCTTTCAGCATACGTGATAGGATATTTCTGTTCTAACTGTCTTGCCAACGCGTTATCCGGAGTTGCGGCAGTACGCGTCCTGCACATGGGACAGTTGCACTCGAGGTCGTACGTTGGATCGTAGTTTGGATCGAAGTCTTCGAGGTTCACGTCCCAGCTGGTGGGTTCGATGCTGTGCGTGTTGGAGGCGTCGGACCACTGTGCCATGCAGGACGCGCATAGCAGGTGGTTGCACTGGGTTTTTACGGGCGTGAAGAGGAGAAGTTGGCAAATCTGGAGTTTGTTAGTAAGAATACGCGTGTTCGCGGGTGGTACTTACGGGGCAGAGGTCATCGTGCGCGACTTGTTCCGGGTTCGATGGTGTTGCTGCTTCGGCCATGATGCCCAGGTGATGCGACGAGGAGAGCAAAAGGAAGATCAAGTGATTCCAGTACGAGGGCAGACTTTAGCTGCCGTCCCTTGGTGCATTGGCGGCATGGCTCGCGTCGTGATGTTGTTATCGTCATTGGTTAAGGCGTCCTCCAGGCATCAGTCCGCGCCGCACGAATTAAGGCGGGGAGGCACGTCACGTGATAGCGCGTCGAAACTCCGCATCATATTCTTCTATCTCCAGGGCTCACTTATTATGTGCACTACGATGTGAGTCACGTCAGATACTACATCATTCCTCTATATCACACCAGAAATTGGTACTGAGCCACGCACAATGAAATGTAAACATCAATGAGCCTGGCGTCCCAAGTGCATCGCAAAGCAGATGAACGTACCTAGTTATGCGCTGCCAACAATGCTTGCAAAGCCAATACTGACTAGGTAGATGCGAGACACCGATATATTGAATTCATTAGATTACAGCATAAATGACACAAATAGCTTCAAAAACCCAGCGCAGGAATAGAGCAGGCACGACCAACCACCAAAAACATCCAGGTATCTCAAGTCTCGACGCGACACAATGGGACAAACCTCCTCAATCACACAATCTTTGCCTTAATACCCTCACCATCCAAAGAGATGAACTTGCCGAGCATAAACCCCACGCCAACCCTTTCGTACACTTTCAAGTCCCTGCTAGTTAGTCCATGGATGGGCGTGACAAGCAACACGTAGTACCTCTTATCCTTGTCGGTTCTTCCCTCTTTGCCTTTCGCCACAGTAACGCATTGTGCTCGCTGCCCATCAGATCCCGTCCGTCTTTCCGTGTCGTAGACAATCTTGACTTCGAACTGTTGCCTCCCTGCCACGTCAAAGTTGCGGACTGTGGCTGTGATAGCGACCTCGCGATCAGGCGGTGCAGATTGGATGGTGCTGTACGGACGGCCGCGTGTCCACGGCGGTTGCAGTTCGTCAAATTCCCAATTCGCGGAGTTGAATGGCGGATCGATAAAGTCGATGCCGCCTTTATAGGCCATCCAAGACCAGCTCGGGACCTTGACGTTTCGGGCGGGCGGAAATTCGATTGGTGTTAAACCTGAGGGGTCTCCTTCTTCTTCACCACGTTGCCACAGAAGGCTGCGGTGAAAGAGGCCGCCGTCGTGCTTGTCCCCATCGTCGAAAATGCCATAGTCGCCCCTTGTTCCGAAAGCCTTCTGCAATCGTTTCTCTAAACCAGCTATGGCGAATGGTCGATCGTCATACTGAGTGAAGTTGAGACGCGAGTACTGCTTGTAAAGGCCTTGAAAGTAGGCTATCTTTCCCGCTCGGGTGGCACTCATGGCTTTGGTGGGGAACTTAGGGTCGCCCAGGAAGTCAGCCATGTTACTGTAGCACACCTTGTTAGTAACTTGACGCTTTGAATGGAAATTTCGATATACCGCTTACTTGTGCATCTTGGTCATTGTCTCACACCTGATACCGTCCCCGCACTCAAAGTATGTCTGGTTTTCGGTAAAGTAAATCGTCCGCCGCGCGAGCGCACGTTCCTGAAGCACCCACCCACGTTTATTCAACGAGCCTTCGATTACGTCTTGATTGAAGTTATCAATTGTTTTGCAGACATAAAATGGCTTCTCATTCCCACGTTGGAATGTGACGTAGTCGCGTCGTTTCCTTGGACGGAGGAAACCATCGCGCTGGCTGGTCGCACGACTTGCAGCAAGGACGCAGTAGGCATCACTGAAGACGTTCTCCATTCTCTTGGCCTCTTCATTGAAGTCGCCACCATCACCCTGAATGATGGCCAACGAATCGATCCACAGGTAGCGTACCCCCAGCTTTCGCGTGCACTCTACAGCATCTCGAAAAGTTGCAGGCAATTGCTCGTGCGGTATACACACTTTATGGCGCTCAATATTTGCTAGTGACGTGCAGAATGGTGGGTATTTCTTGGTGTCACCCCATGGATGCGAAAGTGCGATATAGGTCTCGCTCAAGATCCGCTCCTGGCGTGTCTCGACCAGTCGAAGGACTGGAGATTGTAGGCTTCCTACATCGATCAAGCGTGTAGGAACGCTTTCAGGCTTGAAGTGACAGTCTTGGTGTTTGAGGTTCAGGGAATCAGTGGTGTTGCAGTTCTCGAGCCACAATCTCATGATCTCGAATGAAGTCTCGGTGCCTGGCTGGGGTGGATCAGGGAAGCCTAACTGGATTGCAGTTGGTGGATGAGAGTCTGTTATTTGTCAGTATCTTTGCATCTATCATCATGTAGTTGTCACGAGCGGTCTCAGGTGCGATTCGTGGTGACTGTGATGTAATAGAGAAGCAATACTCACCAAGGCTTCTGAATATCGACAGCACTGGAAATGGCTCTCCAACAATTTCTAGCACTGATTGCTTTCGTTCAAACCCCACACGTCTTCTTCTCGACCCGTCGCTCTTGACGCTCACTTCGTTGAGCATCTTGCAAAAGTCGCAGGACTCTGAACGATCCTCAAGTGTCGACATCGAATCATCGAATGCAAAACCCCCTTGCCAAAAGTCCAGCTTCATGCAGCGATCACACAGCTTGGTGGGGAAGCTCTTCGGTTTCGGCGAAAATTCGTCCGCGACGCCTCGGGCTGATAAGGCCGCAGGTACCTTTTCGTCGACGTAAAACTCCCAACTCTTGAGCGGAGGTAGCCGGTAGTCCGCCGTTCTTAAAGGACGTCCCAAGATGCCGCTCAGCATAGGCCCTTGCGTTGGCGCAATCTGTGGGAATACCCGCGATTCGTGTCTGTTGGCAGCAGCCGCGGGAGCCAGCATGGTGGTTTTCCTGACGGGCAGCCTCACGTTTGATCTGAGTTTGCCCGTGAACAAGTACTCTGGCTGACCTTGTATCTTTCTCAGAATATCGTCCAGCGAGTCACGGAATTGAGCAGCCGTTGCGCGATAACGTGTAAAGGTCTCGCCAATCCCCGGTTGTGCGAAGCGTCGGCCGCTGCTAGTCGAGCTTTCTCGATTTGGAGGCAATGACACCACGAGCAGTTTCTCTTGGACTAGGTGAAGAAGATCCGCAGTGGCTGTATTAGCAGAACACTCCGGGTCTGTCTCTTCCATGGCCTCAATCCATTTGCGCACGACTCTGTGTACTTCGGAGCGACCAGGTTCCCCAGCAGGTAGTCTCTCAAAATACTGGCAGTGATTCTGCGCATCTCCTTTGAGTTGGCTGTAGAAATTGTTGAGCTCATCGTTACCATATAGGAGCCAGATGATGAACTCCAGTGTGATGCATCCCATTGACCATACGTCATAGAGACGCGATCTTGGCGCGTCGAGTTCCTCGACCTCTGGGGCTTCGTATTGAACAGTGCCGTATCTCGTGCTGGTGAGGTGCGTCCGATCTTGAGTGACAACGATGTGCTGCTTCGCAAGGCCCATATCAGCCAATTTCAGTGTTCCCAGCATCGTTTGCTGATCCACGAACCGAAGGATGTTTTCGGGCTTCAGATCACCGTGCCTGATGGACTTCGAATTGCTTTCATCCATGAAGTGGGTTTCCTCGTCGTGCTCGTCATGGAGGCGCATCTCGGGTACACTAATTCGCTCAGATTGCGCACCGTTTGAGGAGCCATTAACTGTATGGACACTGTTGCAGTAGTGCAAAGAATGAAGTGCATCTGCCAGACCTCTCAGCTGCCGGATAGCTTCATGAATGAGGCTACCACTCGGGCCTGAAAACTGTCTCGGTGTTTGAACCCAGTAATCCCGTAAGCTATCGCCATCCGCCCACGGGAACATAAAGTAGCGGCTGTCGCCTCTCCGTATAGCTGCGACACATTCGGTGATATGTGGGTGCTTCAGCTTGTTGATATTAGCCAAAGCACCTGCTTCTCTTTCCCACGCCTCGTCCGTACCCTGCCTGTCGTCGCCTCGTGTTATCTTGATCTCTTTGATAGCCACCTAGTCATGATGTAAGCGTATGCATGTATGTAGAAAGCCGGTGCCCTACGTGTTGCATGCTATGCCGTCTTTGATGACCCGGATGTATTCGTATTTTGTGGACAGATCCAAACGCCCCAACTTTCGGCGTAACGTCTTCTTTCGTGAACGGAAATATGCAGTTATGCAGCAAATCGTAGCTGTATTGATCCGGCGAGAAGACTGGTACAAGAAAATGCCATTGCTTGTTGTAGAAGTCATGGACTTTCTGGCCGGTCCAGACCTTTTTGTGAAAGATGTCCGTGGGTGGTGGAGCTTGTTGGGGGTCAGGTAGGGGCAAGTTCCCATCATGAAACTGGCGAGCCTTGAAAAGTGACATGGCCAGTAAGAGATAGTACGGGTCTAGCTCGCATTGAATCGCTATGGCGAAAGTTCTTGATGCTTTCCCGCCTATCCAGCGTGCAAGTGATTCGCGATACGTGTGGTTGAACTTCTTCTGGACTTCTCGGTCTGGCAAATCCTCGATCTTTCGCAGCTCTGATACGATCCTCTCTTTCGTGACCAGCTGTGTAAAACATGTCTGCGGAAGATAGTCTCTGGGTGGGTCGTGGAAATTGCTGGCCTCGAAGGCGTCTATCAAACTGCTTGCAAGGGACTGTTCGTCGACCACATCATCTAGACCATCCAGCTCCTGCATTATATCGGCGATATCCCATCTCGAGTCCGTCATGACGCCAAGCTATAATCCCTCGCAGACGGTTTGACTGGTGAGCTAGCGAATTGTGGGACCAACAAAGTGACATTGGTAGTCTGTCGCTATGTTCAGGTCAAGCGATGGGCGAAAGTTGATACTGATCGCTAGTTAGTCTCAGCCTTGCGACTGCCGTATGATAGTGCAATGAGAAGACAGCGGGCCCCGAATGTTCGGAAGCAACCTTCCCATTTATGGCTACTTTTGCCGTGCCGTGGAACGGCAGAGCCGCATAGTTGCTTTTTCTCCAATGCAGACATAGATACGTAGATTCAACGAATAGCACCAGGCCACGTCTGCCGCCCCTGGTTGTTAACCATCAGCCCGAGGCGGGAGAGATGGCGATCCGCTCCCGATGCGTGCGAATGCGCCTGACCCCGCCCCCAGCTGAACTGTAGATGAACTGAAGCTGAACTGCGCGCTGACCCCACCTGTTCTTAGAGCGCATGTACCTATCACATCCCTTGCGATCAGCTATTGGTGGCACCAATGAGACCTATACAGCTACCTCAGGGTACCTCCTGAGCGGGCGCACGGCACGCGCATGTGTGGAGGACCAGATGCAGGTGAGCGCAAGTGACGGTAGAAAAAGCTAACAACCTTGTCGTTCGCGCAATATTACACGCTTGCCGTGCTGCTGAGTAACAACTACAAGGATTCGTGTGGCACGCAGCATGATGCAGTCAAGCGAACCACAGGCGTTTCGTGCATGGTAGAATGGTTTCCACAGCCCTCGTCGATACATTAAAGGAAAAGACCCACCCGTACACTGACTACCAATCCTCAGGACCGGCTACTATTGGCGCTCCGCAGCCGTCGAGCTTTGTGTCGCTCTCTCATCTCATGTAGGAATCTGCGCTGCGGCGCCAGTGGAACATGCTTCAGAGGAAGATTCTTCTCAATGATACGCTCAGCATGCCGCGACATCTTCAGCCTGAATGACTGTGGCATCGGCTCCCTCTTGATACACCATGGCTTCAATTCGCTAACGTAGCCCTCCTTGAGGGAGCAGTCGGCATGCATATGTTTGAGCCGTCTCCAAATGTCCGCACAGGATGCTCGTTCAGCGGAGTCGACTACGAGCATTTTGTGTTGGATCATGTCCAGAAATTCGTGTAAATAGTCCGTGCATTTTTCATGCTCATGGAGTTCGTCTATAAACTGTCGACGTGAGATTAGCTATCGAAACAGCGGTAGAAGAGACGATCGGCATACCAATGTGACAGCTTTCTTGATCATGACTTCCGGTTGGCCAGTTTCTTGATCTCTCACTACTTGGAAGAATGTATCCGACTTGTGATTGTTTTGAAACATGTCCGGAGTACTCCGTTTCTGAGAGAAACTTAGTAGTAGCGACTTTCCACCAAGTACCCATGTTACAAATTCGAGGTACACACAGCCTAGACACCAGATGTCATATGACTGGCGAACGATTTTGGGCTGAAGATCGCATTCAGGCGGACGATAGGTCAGGGTGTTAGCAACATCACGAGGTTGCGTCCGACTCAGCAGGGTGTTGAGTTCTGCTTGCCCAAAGTCGGCTAACTTCATGGTGCCCTTCAGATCCGCTTTCTCAACGTCACAGTCATCGTACCAGAGTATGTTACCAGGATTGATATCTCCATGACGGCCAAATTTCTTCTCGTGCATTTGCTGACGAGGGAAGTGCGACGTCTTATCAAAATCGACTTGCTTCCGGGCATGCTTCATGGCTCCAACACTACCAGTGTTGCTGTCCAGGGGTCGAACTCCTAGATCCGCGTGTTCCAGTAACATAGGTTGCCTACTGTTGAGCTGCTCGACGTCACTGGGCTGTATCGACCGCCACAATGGTCGATCAGACACAACAGGGCTGGCTGGCCGTTCAAAAGAGTCAGAAGACTGCACTCTATCCAGATAAGGGTCCATCATGTGATCATCAGCATCTGGTCCGGCGGTTTGCTGATCGATGTTCTCTACGTCGAATTAGCAAGGTTCCAAAACAAAACAGATGGCTAGCATCATGTGCGCTAAACACAGTGTTTTCAATACACACCTGATCGAGGATGCAGTGCTTTCCGCGTTCCATCAGCCAGATACTCGGAAGTCAAATGCCTATGAAGTCGCAGAAGAGCCTCGGCAATACCCGCACATTGTTCAGCTACCCAAGTGATGCTGCAGGAACTCAGAACAGGTCGCGCATGGAGATCCTTCCAGTAAGTAAAAAGATCGCCTTCTGCGCGATAGAACACGAGGTGGAATTTCCGAAACTGCTCGTAAGTAGCCAACAAGGACACAATGTGTCTGTGGGATCTTTCACCACTGAAGGACTTCAGAATGATTATTTCCTTCTTGAATGCATCACGGTCCATCTCATGCAGTTGTTGCTTGATAGCGAAACCTCTGTGAGATAGCCTCTCATCCCGGAAGTTGTGGTGATCGCCGTGTATACGGACCATGAAAACTTTGCCGAAGCCCCCTGTCCTATCCGCATCTTCATCTTCGGTATTGTGTGGTGGGATGAAGGGCAAGATATGCTGGTTATCTAGCACGTAGTGCTTGACATCTCCATCATCATCTCGGGCGAAAAAGGGTGCTAAGAAATCCCATTGGAATTGTTCGAAGTTACGAACCTTGATGGAGGACCAATCATCGTGCTGGAAGCACTCGAGAGGAGTGTTTATTGGCTTTCCTGATGTATCCCTGCGACAAAATCCTTTCTTCCCCTTCGATGTCTTGGTTGAAATCAGAGGGAGATCGAGATCGCTTACGTCTTCATCAAGGAACAGTGAGATTGACGATGTGTACTCGGCGATGACAAGTAAAGCAAAGATCTTTCGAAAAGTTTTGATCTTCTCCTTTCCTCTGTGTAAGACACGTGTCTCGCTACAGACGCGTTGAGCGAGTAGTCGAATGCGTTCGTGAGTGTGTATGCGTGAGAGGTCTTTTTTCAGAACTTGCGCGACTGTTTCTGTATTGATGAGGCGATAAAGCTCGCCTTTCGGGAGAAACTCTTGGTCATGGCCATTGGGGTTCCACGTCCGTTGTAGAGCCTCAAATAGTTTGCTTTGCAATTCTTGACAACCCTCGGCGACGCGAAGTGAGGCAAACGATTGCTCGAGATCGTGCTCCTCACTAGTGTCCAGTTCGTCTGTATGATTTTGGTGCAGTAGTTGTTGTTGGTTACCAGCATCGGAGATGACATCGGAATCAGCAGGGTAATGGCGACAATTCGGAACTCCGAGGAATGACGCGTCGCCGAGCGTGGATGTATAAGGTCGCCGCGCTTCGACTGTAGTCTCTTGTGCAGAGTCATCTGATGAGAAATTGGTCAACTAGATAGTAAGGTCAATTACAAGATGCAACGAGTACTAGAGTGCGCTCACACTCACAGTAAATTTGTCCTCCTCATATTCTGTCTCCTCGAAATCGGAAGGTTCATCAGCGCCTGATGTAGTCCATTCACCAATCAAGGAGGGAGTTGGACTCGTGCGCAATCGAGAGCGAGTTCGCCACTGGGTTGGAGTGCTCCAGTCACGCGAGCCTGCACTTTCTCTAGCTTCTTGATTGGGAGACAAAGGTCTAGATCCTGAATCGGGTGGTGTGAGTCGATACAGCTCGGAGTCATTGTCGCCTTCGCTCGATGCCGATGACTTGTGGAAGGAGTCACGCCGGCGGTGAGGCGTGCTTGGAACCTTCAAGTGGTTGCCAGTTCCGATTTCGCCACAGCTGTAACAGGGCTGCAATTTCGCAATCGTCGATTTGGTTTCAACGACAACTGGTGTCTCGTCTGAGCTGTATGACCGAAGACGTGTACATCTCGACGTGACGTTCTCGTGTGTCGTGTCCGCTAACGCCCCATTCGGAGCGATAGTGTCTGGAAGCACTGGGCCCGATTCGACTGACGCAGCCACGTGAAACTGGGGCGTGGCATTGCTCAACTTTGCTTGGCCATCGTCGGCTGAGCTGTTGACCGGGTCATTGCGCAAGTGAAGATGCGGGGCTGATGCCTCCGAAACATGCATGACTGTTTCTTAGACGATATCCAGTACAACAAAGAGATGGCCCCAGTGTCGAAACAACAATGCGGCGTCTCGCTGTGATATATGTGGCAGCCTCAGTGAAGGACCTGTTGCAGAGGGCTGAGCATCGAGTCCCTCATAACAGCCGCTGTCCTCGACATCATTGCCTGCGGGGCTCAGACATGTGGCTGCAGGTCGCGAAATGTGGCTGCAGGCTGCACAATTTGCCTTCTTTTTACCCTTGCTGCACCACTGGTTGCCTGCAAGTAGCCGGTGAACTCCAAAGGGCAATCGCTCAGTGGCCCTTGTAAGTGGCGCAGCTCCGCCCCCTTAGCTACCTTGATGCACGCGCGCAATCTCAGCCTTCTGTTCCCAGATATAAGTATACCGCCCACAAAGCCATATGTGATGTAATAGGAAAGAAAAAACTACTACTACACATCAGTTTTCTGGGTCCGCCCCTCATCCCGCACAACAACAAGAGCAATGACAAGTTCTGCCATCAATACACTTACCAGTACGGATGTCCTCTCGTTGGCTGAGCAAAGTGATGATGCTCTTGACTTCGACGATGCTCAGTCGATTTCTGGACGAAACATAGACCCGAAGAAGTTGGCGATGCTTCTAAGAGTCAAGTTTGGCGCTGGAGCCTACGATATCCACGTGAGTACATTGCAAACAACGCGAGATAAACCCCATGAATAGGAACACGAGCTGACAGGCATCGCAGATAATGCAGAACTCGTATTGTATCATCGCTCCGCGAAAGTTGTCAACAGTGAGTCGCGTTTCCCTCCAGGCCCTTTGAAAGCTGACACCATACAGGGAGAGATAGCGAAGTGTCGGAGACGTTAGATCTACGATGAGTAACGTGTGCTCGCCCACCGCTTGCTGATGCATCCTTTCGATGCGAAGCGATGAGGCATCGAGTGTGCGACGAACATGATGCCCTTGTGGCAAACAAGGTGTAACGCTATGGTTGCGAAGCCTCAACAGAAGTGTTCAAGGGAGGTGTACAACGAGAAAGAGAAGGATTGAGTGTGCGCCGTCCTGGTCAGCTGATCGCATTTACATATCGCATAGTGATGGAGTCCGGAGTATTGGGTTATCTAGAACAGAACAAGAACGCATCGGCGAAACTGCGCAGATTTCAAGCGTGTTGACTAAGCAGCTATGACCATGTGCACCGGTGACGTGATGCACAATGATGAACAGGGCCGCTATGTAAGCCCCGGGGTGTATTCACGGGGTATCGTCTCTTACCAGTGCATTGCTTTGCGCGCTTGTCCGGAACGTGAGTCGTTGTTGTAGCCTAAGGCAGTCATCCAAAGTTCCATTCATCGAGAGTATGTGGAAAGAGCACATCATGAGCACCGCAAAGTGATGACGCATCATCTCCATATTATCCAACGGTCACCCACGTTGGGATTGTATGGCGATCAACGGCGGTACCTAAATATAATATTGGCTTTCCTTTCGTTTAAGCTGACACCAAACGAACACGAGAACAAGGCTGAGGCGCTGCATGCACCGCCCACTTTATACGGTCAGCTTCTCAAAGACCCTGGCGGGAGTCATCCCCAGATCTGTCCGGCGCTTCGGGTATCGAGTTTGCAACGGCGATGCACAATGAACCTTGGAGGACAGCTCCAAGACCATCAAATTTCCCGTGCCGATCCTATCGAATGATGCGCAAACCAGGCGAAACTGTGATAGGTTTTAAAACTGGCGCCAGGTTGCAAGCGCCGATCTCCCGCGCCAGTGTCTCACATAGCAACGTCTGGCGCGTCGCCATTGGCCGGAGCTTGGATTACGCGGATGTGGCTATGCCGGTTTCACTGCGAAGCTTGATACATCACTCCCCTTTCCTGCTGCGCGCCACCAACACCCACTGCAACCGCACCGCCGACCTACTTTTGCCCAGCGTTCCTTCTCACCACCTGCGCTCCCCATACGTCGTTGGGCGATAGCGATAACGCATTCTCACGACCTCACTTTCGTTTTGCGCTTGGACCCTGGACGCGCAGCAGTCACGCCCCAACCTGGCCTCCTAACACGGCGACTCCTCCGCGGGAACCCGCCAGCACATTTTAACCCTCCGCGATGTGGTTCCGCAAACGTGAAAGCGACATTGAAATGTCGGGCATGATGGACGGAGCACCAAAGAAAAAGAAGTCGCAAGGCCCGCCAGAAGAAACAGAGTACCAGAAGTTTGACTGGAAAAGATTCTTTCTCGCCCCCAAGTACATCCGTAAGACCACGCCGCCGCCCATGCGACCACGGAACATTTTTGGCTGACTCAGCATATAGCATGGCACATATTGTTCATCGTTATCGGCATCTTGACCGTAATCATCACGATAAAACACGACGCCGTCGTTGAGGTGAGTCTTCGGTGTTTTGCCTTGGGGCCGACGAACACGTGGCTAACGGTGTCTGTGCAGAAATTACGGCCGTGGTCCGAGAAAGTGCGAGACCTACCAGCAGGATGGCTAATCCCCATTGCTATTCTTATCATTATTTCTTTCCCTCCTTTATTCGGTCATGAGATCATTGCCCTGCTGTGTGGTGTCGTCTATGGTCTGTGGATCGGGTTCGCCATTGTTGCAGCCGGCACGTTCATTGGCGAAGGTAAGCCTTACCATATCATTACAACTCCATGCAATGCATACTAACATCCTCATCAGTCGGCACATGGTACGCTTTCAAATACGCCTTCCGCTCCAAGGCTCTCAAACTGGAGCGCACCAATCTAAACTACGGCGCCATGGCCCGTCTAACGCGTGACGGTGGCTTCACCATCGTGCTTGTCATCCGTCTGTCCGCCATTCCAGCGCATTTTTCCACAGCCGTATTTTCAACCTGCGACGTCAAGTTCTGGCATTTCGTCGTCGCTACTTTCCTTTCTCTGCCCAAGCAAATCTTCCTTGTCTACCTCGGTGTACTGCTCCTCCAGGAGAGCAACGACGACGTAATCAAGACGGTCATGTTTGGCGCTATCTTTGTTATCACTATTGCCATGGGTATCTGGATCTACATGAAGATGCGCGTGGTGAAGAAGACACTCTTGGAGGAGCAAGAGCTCAGAAGGGTCAAGAAGGCCGAAGCCGTCGAGCTGGTACCAAATGTTGAACGTGCGTTCGATACGCAATACGACGAGGGGCCTCCGATCTGGTCATCTATGCAACCAACGCAAGTCAACCGACCAACGGAGAGGAGATATGACGAGGACCCTCCGGAGTGGGCCATGCAGCCTACGCAACCCACCAGAATGCTCTGAGCGTAATTGTTGATTGTATCATACATAGACTGTTATATTCTTAATGCCATAATGAAGTTATGACCCGCATGGGTTTAGTATGCACAAGACACTCAAGGTCAGATCTGACAGTCACTCCGACTACTAACCCCACTTCTAGGTGGTATATCGAAACCACGGCACGTTATCGGCAAGCTCACGCTCCAACGACTTCTGCTCCTCGGTCAACTCCTGCACCCCAGCTTCCAACGCAATCTTATCGCGTCTCGCGTTCTCCATCCGACACCACGTCGACATGAAAAACGTCAGGAAGAACGCCATGCTACCACACGTTAGCTCCGCATCACCGACATCATGCGATCTTACGATAACTCACCTGACGAACCCGATCAAGATGCTATGCCCAACGACAAACCTAGGCCCATCACGCGACAAATAGACATAACTCGCAATGATACCTCCACAGTTACCGCCCATGACCTGCATAGCAATACCCGTCCCCCTCTTCAAACTCCCCCCAATATTCCCACTATTCCACGCCATACCCAACGGAATCTGCGGATAAATGCCAATAGCCGCGAGCACCGTACCCGCATACTGTACACTGGGCCTCCCCGTCGCAGCAAGCATAGCAAAGCCCGCAATAGCCACGACCTGGAAGCCCATCAAGAAAACACCACGTTTCTTCACGCGATCCGCATACCAGCTCGCAGCAATGGTGAAAAAGCACGCGCAGACGTATGGCGGGACGGACATGAGTTGCGCGTCGTTGGCAGTGTAACCCATGTTTTTGATGATCGTCGGGAGGAACAGGGCGAAAGAGTAGATGGGACAGAAGCCCGCCATGCAGATTAGCATGAAGATGTATATCTTCCAGTCTGTGAGGGCCTGGTAGACATATTTCATGTCGAAGTCGTTGGAGAGGTGGCCGTGGTCTGCGTGGAGGCGGCGTTGGACTTCTGTGCGTTCTTTGGGCGTGAGGAAGCGGGCGCTGCGTGGGTGTTAGATGGGTGGGAGTGTGGAACGGGGAGAGGACTGACGTTTCTGGGTAGTCGTATATACACCAGTATGCTATTGTTGAGACGAGGATGCTGAGGAGGCCTTCTAGGATGAATATCCTTTAGTCATGCTAGTAAGTAGAATCCTTAGTCTTTTGGTAAAGGACGATTTACCATGCCCATGCTGCTTTTCCACCAACACCGGACATCTCGGCGATGCCACGGGCTAGGACGCCGCCAAAGGCTCCGGCGAGCGTTGCAGCGGAGAAGAAGAGAGCCATGCGGAAGCCGCACTCGTCTCTCGCATACCTTGGGTAAGTCAGCACTGCATTCAGGATTCGTCCGCCAGCTTTCTGGAGTGGGGACTCACCATTGCGAGATGTAGTAGTTGACACCTGGAAACAATCCTCCTTCAAACACCCCCAGAAAGACTCGTGTAGCCATCAACCCAGAATAGTTCTTCACGAAGCCTTGCAGTATCATGGCTAGTGACCAGAAGAACATGATGAATGTCAGCCAGATAGACGGTCGGGTCCGTTTCATCATGATGTTTGATGGTATTTCGGCGGCGATGTAGAAGGGAAATAGGACGGCGAGGCAATCATTGTACTGTAGGCCGTGTAACTTGAGATCTTGTTCGAGGTGGTCGAGGCGAGCGTTGCCAATGTTGGTGCGGTCCAAGAAGCACAAGCTATACAGCGATCAGTTGATGGTACGAAAATGGTATGTAGGAGAAGGGCTTACAG